CCTCCTCCTCCTCCCCCTGCGCGGCGGCGGCAGCGCACCGCCGGGCTCCGCTCCCTTTGTTGCAGGCGGAGCGGCGGGCGCCGCGCACAAAGGAGCGCGGCCGGGGTACCGCTCCCGAGTCCCGCAACGCCCTGCCCGGCCCTGCCCGGCCCTGTCCGGCCCTGCCCGGCGGCGGCGGCTCCCCGCGGGGATGCTGAAGGTGCGCTCCGGCGCGGCGGAGAAAGGACGGTCCCGCCCGGGCGGCGCCGCGGGCTCCGCTTGAGGCTGCGGGCCCTGCCGCCGCCATCCCGCCGCTCCCCCGCCGCCCCTCGCCATGGTGGCGGAGAGCCCGGCCGCCGCCCGGCCGCCGCCGCGAGCGGGACCCCCGCGGGGGCTGTGCTGCGCCTCGGCCCTGCTGCTGCTCGCCCTCTCGGCGCTGCCCGCCGCCCGCGCCTCTCATCCGCTGGCCGCCGGCGAGTGCCAGGGCGGCGGCAAAGGGAAAGGCGGCAACTGCTCAGGTAAAGCCCCGCGCCGCCCTGCCCACGCGTGCACGTGGGGGAGCGGAGCGGCGCGGAGGAAAACAAAGGGGAGACGCTGCCCCGGGGGCTCCGCTGGGCGCTGCGCGGGGCGAGGGACGGGCGGCCGAGCGCCGCTGGGATGGGGCTGGCTCCGTGCATGGTTAGATAGATAGACAGATAGATAGACAGATGGAGAGATGCTGGCGCGGTGCGATTTCAGCGCGTTGGTTCGGCGTGACAGCAGCGCATCATCGTGCATCGTGAGGGATATGGCCGTTTGTAAAGCGGGGCAAAGTAAATACCGTATGAAGTTTCCGTTTCGCTAGCAGGGCACGTTTCTCCCCTTCAGCCCCTCCTGGTGAGGGCAGGTCGTCCTCTTTCCCCCACTCCGAAGCGCCGCTCCCCACAAAGGACCGACGCGCCGCTCCGTGCCTTCTCCGAGGCGATGAACGGCTCCGTGCCTCCCGCCCCATTGTGTGCAGCGGACGCGGAACTGAGCCCAGGCACGGGGAGCTCCGTCCTCGAGGCTCCGGACCGCAGCCGTGACAAAGTGAGGAACAAACCTCACCGCAGCCCGCACTCGGTGTGCTTATTTGGTCTGAATTCATCCGGTTTGGTGGTCCGCGCGTTGTACCGCAACGCCGTTGCGGTGCGGCTGCCTGACTTCTGTATTGTGTTTGCAGGAATACTGTGGTCGTTCTTTAGGAGGGGTTAATAGGTCAATGTGTCGCCGGCATTAGCGGCTCAGCGGTCAGAGACTTGTGGGTCGTTGGAGGAGAGCAGGGGCATAAATTAGCGAGGGGGAGTGTGAAATATCAGAAATATCGGAAGAAGTTTCTAAGACAATGTGGGATGTGTGGATACTGCTGGAAGAGGGCATCCAGGCTGACACCATCAAGTACCAAAAGACAGAAGCAGATATACATGCCATCTACAACACGTATGGCAGGCACTGGTTGTGGTGTCACTGTAAAAATGTGGCAGAAAAGTTATGCTTAAAAAGGCAGTAGTAGTCAGGTTCTGTTGTGTGGTAATCACTTCACACATGATTGCGATGTTTCGGTTTTCCTCGTTGATTTTAAAGAGCCTGATATCGATACGTGGTGTCTGGGACAGGTTTTCCCTTTACTCATCCCAGTACGGCTTCATTAAGTTTTACCAGGTAGGTCCCTCCCTGCCAGAGATGACTTCCCTGTACACGTGGAGCATCAGCAGTTGTCTGTGGACTGCCTTGCTCTCCTCACTGTTCGCACAGAGCAACAAACTTAGAATTCTGTGACAGCTTTTTCTTCAAAAGTTGGGACTCACATAATTACTTTCTGTGCTCAGAGAAGCGGAATCCAGACCTTGACTATTACTTTGTCATTTTGATGTTTGTATCAGGTTGACCGAATGCCCTGGAGCAGTTTCTTAAACTTTTTGTGTTGGTCCCTGAGGCTGTAGCATTTCCTCACCACTCGGTTATGTAGCTACCTTTATTTTCTGTTAAATTGTTAGGAAATGCTGAAGTCCTCTCCTTAGTTCCTCTGTAGCATGCTGCTAAAGAAAGAGTTTGCTGTAGCAAAAAAGCACTGCAAGGTGGACAACATGGGCAGATAACATAAAAATTCAGATGGCTTTTCTAGCCTTGATTCTCTCCCTTCTGCCCAGGCATTGCAGTTCCATCTTTTGTTAAATTCTGATATAATGGCATCATGCCTTGCCAATGGCCAAGGGAGGATCATATAATCAAGCAATTAGAGCAAGAAACAGAGAATTTGGACATAGCTGCCATTAATTGGTGATGTGATGTGGACTTCTGTGCATTTGTTTATCTGTCAGTCCTGCTTCGCTAAGTGAGAAAACTGAAATAACTTGATTTTAGTTAGAATGCTGGATAAAACAGTTGGTGGGATGTAGGTTTTGTTTTGTTTTGTTTGTGTAAAAGAGAACAGGCACCAAATGTTAGGGTTGATGTTTTAGAGGTGTTATCTTATTGCCAGATTTACTTGTAGTCATCTTGTGCAGTGCTTCTGGTACCCAATGGCTGTAAGCAGGATGGTGTGATAGCTGCTTATCTGCTCTGGTAGTCTTGTCCTCAATAAGGATTGGGAAAGGAAGTATAAAATAGATTTAGTTTATGAATTGGATTTGGGAATCTCCACGCTGCACTCTTCAGTTTCAATCTGGATGGATCCCCTGTGTGAGGTGTGTTGCAGCCACGGGGGTTCATTTTATTGCAACTGCCCAAATTCAGTGCATTGCAGTAAGATTTGCTTTAAATTTGAGCACTCTGGATTCGTTAGCAGCAATATATCTCTGTTGGCATGCATTTCAGCTGCTCCTTCCTTTATGTGATCATATATGCTTGTTGGGATGATTTCACACACTTCCTATGAGTCTTATAGGCCATATGCTGCCCTTGGTTTCTTAAAGTCTCTTTGAGCAATGTCTGTAAAGATAAAATTGTTTCAAAATAGCTTATTGAGGACTGGATGAGGCCAAGGAAAAGTAAAGGACACGTGGTCTTCCACAGGATTACCCTTCTGAGGAGCATTAAAGTCTTTCTTTGCAACAATCATAAGGTCTCTGAAATAGCTTGAAGATGGAAGTAGATGGAAAATGTTGATTAGAGAGAGGAAAGGGGAGAGCTGGACAAAGGAAAGTATCCATCCTGTGTGTAGGGTGATAGTGGAGAGTATGATGTGCTGTTTATTGAGCATGGAACTATAAGCTGTCAAAAAGCTTATAAATTTTTAGACAGAACAGCAGAGAAAGCTATAGGGGAGCAATCCTTCATCACATACAAATTACCTTAAGTTTCAGTATGCTTTAGAAACATGGTTTCTACCCTGAAATAATTCACAGAGTAAATTAGACAGAGAATGTGAAAATGGACAAAAGAGAGCGGTGAAGCAGGGAACATCAAGTGGTGAACCATCAGGAGTACAGCAAGCACAAGCAAAATTCATGCATTATGATATGGTAGGATGAGAAAGGAAGAGTAGACATCAGAGGTGGATTGAAAGCATCGTGATGCTGGGCAACAAGAGGGTCCTGAGAAGGGATGGGAGAGGAAAGTATTGGTTGACCAGTACATGAGAAGAAGGGAGTAAGGAAGCTGCATGAGAAAAGATAGAAAGCTGAGAATGGGAACAACTCACAAAGGATAACAAGAATTAGCCACGTTGTATGTACATTTTCAAAGCATGTTTGTGCTTGCGTGCTTGCGTGCTTGCTCCTTGTGTGAGCAGAGCTTTAGAGATAGAAGATTTGGGAAGGGCACAGAAGGTGAGCAGGAAGAGCAACGGGAGATGGCAGTCTCATGCAGATAAGGCAGGAACATCCCCAGAACACGATAATAACTCCAAGTAGTATAACAGCAAAGGAGAGAAATTACACTAATTCTGTTGAAAAAAAAATGAACACTGTTCATTTTTGCGCACACTCAAGGAGGGAGCAGTGCATTTAAAATATGTCTTCTGTCACTGTTGCTAGAGATGCATGTAGTAACATAGATAAAAAAGATCTCTTTTTGTTTGGTCCTCTCTTCTTGTTTGCTTTCTAGCACTGATGAATCTGCCATCATTCAGAATTTGAAAGTCTTTGTCCTTGTTCTCTCCTGCTGATATTGTTGTTTCCCCATATCCTTGTCATGCAGCAGAGGTTGTTCAATTAGCCACTCTTTATTTCCATTATTTTGTTAGATGATATCAAGTCTGTTCTCCAGGCACAATAGCAAGGATCCCCAAGATTATCATTGCTGTGTCAGCAGAAGTGGCACAGCATAAACATATTAAGAAAAAAAATTATCTGCACAAGTCATCTCTTTACTACTTTGATGTGGTGCATGTAATGTATTTTTAAAATATGTTACATGACAACATTAACAACATATTTTTTAAATTACCTTCAGTAATCAAGGACCAGCAGTGAAGAATAACACATCATCTGTAGTTTGTGTGTGGACTGCTAGTACTGCTGACTTGTTCAGTGCTTAATAGCTTGTGGGGATTGTAGGAAGTGGTAAAAACAAAGGTCACTGAAGCCGAACCAAAGTAGCGATGCTTGAAATATGTTGCTTTTCTCTCTCCTTGAGTGTGGCCCTTGCCTTTGCTATGTCTCCTTCCTTCCAAAACTGTTTGATAGTTAACAGGATGAGACACTGAGAAGCTTAAAAAGTAAGTGCCAAAAACTTAGTAAACAAGAATCTGTTAGAGTTAGGAGCAAAATGTTTGAGGCACAAACTCGGTGCTTGTGAGTTCTCAGTTGCCTTTGCAAGGTTTTCAATCTCAGTAGCATCTAGGATATGTCCAGGATTGGCTCTCTTTCAAAAATACTGTCTACATTTATTGGCTAATTGCAGTTTTAGAGTTCAAACCAGGATAAAATATCACTATTTTCTGATGTGTTATCTATTATATATGAGCTGTTGCAGTTGAGTACTTCACCTTTTTCCTTAGGATAAGCAGGGGTCTAAAGCTACTCGCATTGATAACATCTACTCTGTGAAGTGAAAAGCTGAGCTGAAGAGTGGGTTGGCCAAAGCGAGTAGTGTGTACATCTTTATCAGTCTAGGCTTCTGCACTATCCGAAGCTTGGATCCATTCTGTCCCTTCCCTGTCTGTGCAAGGGAAGAACATAAAGCTGTGCCCAGTCCACCTGGTCCACAAGAAAACAATGTGGGATGACATAAACCTCAGACACTCGCTGTTGCCAGAGCTCGCCCTTGTTTGTGCCTGAGCTCTGCGTGACTCTGTCAGCCAGAATCTGATGTAGCCTCAAGCCTGGCTTTTATCTGTGCTTAACTGCTGCAGCAGGCATACTCTTTATGCCTTTTTCTTTTTTTTTTTCCGATTGTTGTTGTAAAGATGAACTAAGTGGGGTTTTTGGTTCTAGTGTGTCATCCTAAGTTACACAAGACCAAATCAATTTGTGTTAATAGTGTGAAGCCAGATTGGCAAGAATGGAAAAGCAGGGGATGGTTTGGGGATACAGGTTCAGGTAAATTAGCCTAGCTG